GAATCTGGGTTGTCCGTGCGCGTGAATCTGGGCAGTCCGATCGCGCGCACGCGGATCGCCCACATGGCTCGTTCCCTGGTCAGCGTTGCCTTGCCACGCGGCACGTCCTAGTTGGTCGGGGCTGCTGACGTGGCTGCTGACGGGGTGCAACTTTTCTAAATTACGTTTTGACCCCCCCTGGGTTCCGATTTTCTTTTTAAAAACACCCCCCAGATCCAAATTTTCATCCCTTTTTCCTAAAATTAATTTCAATTAAATACAAATAATACTTTTACCCAATTTTATCACTATTATTATTATTTTCATTAAATTAAATTAAATAAAAAATCAAACAAATAAATAAAAATAAAAATAAATAAAATAAAAATTTTTATTTTTATTTGGGTGTTACAGACGGGGTATTGAGGTTTATTGTTCTGGTGCTCATACCGGACGGGGTATGGGGACGGCCCTGAAATTAAGCTTGTTAAGGAGAATGGTTCACGTGTAGCGGGGACCCCTATGGATCCCCATGGATATTAGTAGGCTGATAATAAAGGGCAATTGTTGTTTGATGATTTAAATATAATAGTATGATATGTGCTATGTTACAGATTATAAATGAATTCATGATATTTATAATGTTATTGTTTCCGTAGGTAGTTTTTATGAATCTCAATGCAATAAGTGGACGGTAAATGGTTTGATTACTGATAAATGAATTTGTTTAAAATTTGTGCTCAATTGGTTGTTTTTGGTTTTCTACTATCCGTTGCTTCTGTGACAGTGATATAATGTGATGTTCTTACTGAGCTAATGTATCTCATTCCTTATTTAACTATTTCAGATAAGGAGGATCTGGTTCCCGAGCCGATCCACAAGAAGATGACGAGTATATACTAGATACTTTATAGTTTCCTTTATTTTTCTCATTTCTTGTATTTTCTTTAGATAACTTATTCTGTGATATTGTTTAGTACTTTTAAGTTATTGTGTAAGGGATGTTAATCTTAATCTTTTATTTCGCTTCCACACTCAGATTATTATATATATATTTTCTTTTGAATTTTCGAGATCGTTACATCTGTTCTTACCAATGTTGTTCTTATCAGTACTGTTCTTATCAGTTTATATATCATCTATCGTATATTTTTATATATATACACACATATGCGTAACAACGTAAATATATATATTATATAAATATATACAAATACAAATTGGACATACTAATTCTATTCATATTATATTACACATACATTTAAACATTTACACATAATGCATTACACATATACATATTTACATAAATATATAATTTATGTCTTCATACAGAATACACATAATTCTTACCTATAGTGTAATTGAGAAAGTTTTGAAAATCCTTTATAACTCGGTCTATTGTTCCCCTGGAAATTTGAATACTGTTTGGATAATTTTTTTTGTTTATAATAAAAAATACATATATTAAATTATAAATAATTTTAGAAACTATATTATATAAAATTAGGAACAGATTTTATCTTGGGATACACGGTCCTGATCGCCAACATTACCATGCTCCATTACACGCATATCACCAAATATCCCATACATTGATGATCGAATCAATGCGCGTTGTCGCATACGGTTTACCAACATCATATTTGGTCACTATACTTCCATTTTTTCTTTTTTCTTTTTTTTTCTTCTTCTCTTTTTGTTTTCTTTCTTTTCTTTTCTTCTTTTTCTTTTTCTTTTCTTCTTCCTTCCTCTTCCCTCCTCTTCCCCGTGGCCTTTCCCTCTCCTCTTCTTCTTTTTCCTTTTTTCTTTTTTCTTTTTTCTTTCTTCTCTTCTTCTTTTTTTTTTCCTTTCATCATCATCATCATCATCATCTTTTTATTCTTCTCTCTCTCTCTCTCTCTTTCTCTCTCTATTCAACATGATTCTTTTCTCTCTTCTTATTCTCTTCACTTTTTTTTTTCTTTTCTTCTTCTCTTTTTCTTCTTCTTAAATTTTTTGGTGCCGTTATAATCTTTCTCTATCTTTTTCTCTCTACTCAACTTGATTTTTCTCTTTCTTCTTCTTCTCTTCCCTTTTTTTTTTTTCCTTTCTTCTTCTTCTTCTTTTTTCTTTTCCTTTTTTCTTCTTATTCTTCTCTTGTTCGATGCTCTCTCCTTCTTTTTTTTCTCTTCTTCTCGCGACGTCTCTCCTTCCCCTGCGTCCCACCTTCGTGACTACTGCTCACTCCTCCTCCTTACGCGGCTAAGGCTCCTCAATTCCCTCCGCTCTCTTAGTCCCGATGCCGTCTGGGCTTCCCTGGCGGCTAGGGTTCTTCTTTCCTCTTCAAGAGTTGAAAATGAAGCTCTTATATGGGTTTTTGGGAGTTGTCAAATCCGCAAGACAAATCTAGACGGTATGTTTCCAGATCTCGCCATGTGTATGCACACATGGTCGAACAGCCTGACCCATCTCACCTGCTGAGGTGTCCCACATTTTTAAAATTATATTTTGACCCTATTTTTTATATTTATTATTATTTAGGTTCTTATTATTCATAAAATATCACTAAAATTTAATTTTTTCTTCATTTAAGTCCCTAAAACTTTAATTCGTATAATTTTATGCTTAATTAAAATTTTAAATATATTTTTTCAAGACTGCAAAATTGCGGGTGTTACAATATCTATTCTTTTATGACTATAATTAAGATAATTAATTATAAAATTTTAAAAAAATTGATGCTTCTTATAAGTGTAAGATCTCAATAAATTATATTACTACATAAATGAGTCAAAATCATTAAATTTTTAATTGTTAATAATATATTTTTTTATAATATAGTATACAATATTATAAAAGAATAATGAATATATTTTACTTAAATTTATCAAAAAAAAAATGTAAATATTATAGAAATGATGGATCAAAAATAAAAAGATAAAATATAATGATAACTACATGGGCTTGGACTTAGTTGAAGCCCAACAAGAATATGTATAATATAAATAGAATTAGTTTAAATCCTACCGTCTTGCAATGGTCCCGATCTCTTCCACCACTATCATCCTTGCAGTTGCAGAAACCATCCCTAAAATAGTTAATGAAGATCACTAGCTTGGCCATGTAGTAGTAGAACTCAACAATTTCTGAACCTTCGTTGTTGGTGGTTCCAAGCTTATCATGAACTTGGCCGAACACCACGAAAGTATGTATCATGGCCGAATACAGAAATACTAAACCAAGTCGAAAAGAGAGTTCAAGAACCAAGCAGATATTGGCATCGAAAAAGCAAATGGAGTGTCTTCTATCTTTTTTCTTTTCAGATGATTGTGTTGCAAGAATCACCACATCAAAGGATTTCCTCTCTATCACCAACAGCTTTCTTGGTGGCAGGAGGATGCCATGGATCAGAGGGAAACGAGGTGTGAAATTGAGTAATAGTATTTTCGTATGCTGCTTCATCCTTTTCTTTTACAAAAAAAAAAAAATGCTATAAATATATATCAATTTTAAAGATTTTGCATCTTAAAAGTATTAATCTCCTTCCCTATGGGGGAGACAGAGTCGAGGAAACTTCCATTCGGTTAAATAGGATTCTCTTGAACTGCAGCCTGCAGAAGGATTAGGCATCAAATCTTTTGTCACCTCCAATAAGGATTTCCATTGTAATGGTTGTGGAGGTTTATTCTAGTAATAGAAAATTGTGTCGGAAGATTATCAGGCTGGATTTAGTCTTATAGGGAGGCTTTGGATGACATAGATGCCTGCGGTACTGAAGGAAAGATTTGGTTGGTATTGTTCATCTCATACATTTTTGGAGAATGTACGATATAGTGACTCTGCATTGCAAACCTGTTTTCTCACAATCTTTTACTTAGCTTTTAATTAAGTGAAAAATTGTAATCAACCTTGTCCTAAACCTTTTGAGATTGAGGAGTATGTGAGTTATCTTGCTGGTCTTGAGAAAGCTTCTATAAATCAGTTATGGAGAATGCCCCAGTTTGGAGTGTTTCTAAGGATGGAACTCATTATCAAAATCTTGCTATGTTGATCATTTAAATGGATACTGCCGTTCACAGTTGGCCCTGAAAGCCTATTTGGAAGCAGAAGGTGTCCCCTGGGGTTGCTTTCTTTATCTAGGGAGCAACATGGGAGTGTATACTTTACCGTGGGTAACTTCAGTAAGAGGAATGCATTATTGCTAATAGTTGTCTCTTTTGTTCTGCAATTTCAAATCCCTAACCATCTTTTGTTGTGTCTTCCAAGCGAGAAGGCTTCCCTTTCAGGAATCAAGTGGGTGACGGGTGGGTCTATTAGAACGTAGCTGCTAGCTGTTACGGTAATCACTGTCATAATAAAAAGAAGAAGTTTGTATCTCTTATTCCTCGTGTCATTTCTTGGACTTTTTGGAGAGGAGTAGAAGGTAGTTGGTCCAAATTGTAAATATTTTGATCCCTCTGCAACAAACTGAAAAAGTTAAGTACTTTGATTAAAGATCATTCTATCCTCTATCAGAATGGTTTTAGGTTCGGTTGTTGATATTTTAGCTGAGTTCCTTTTTTAATTGTCTAATTTATGGGCTCATAAGTTCTCTAATTTAATCCTCTTTTTTTTTTTCTTTTTTTTCCTTTTCTAACTTGTTTTCTTTCTTTATATCTGATGATGCCTTGTCCTCTTTCTATTGTTTTCTCTTCCTTTCTTTCTTTCTTTCTTTCTTTCTTTTTTTAATTAAAATAAACATAAGTCATTTTACTAGCAAACTACCAGTTTCAGCTGTAAACAAATGGTACTTTAGTATTGTAGCTAGCTTGTGTGTAGATTATGCATGTCTGTTCAAGTATGTGTCATTTTACTGTGAAAGTGCTTATAGAAATTCTTTTCCAAAATCTTTTTGTTATATTTTGTTTTTTAAAGAATAAATAAAAAATACTTAAAAATTTCAAAAACGCATGGTTGGTACTGTTGTATGCCACAATGTCTTATCCCTCCTGTCACTTGTTTCTCCTCACCTATGTTGTACTGTCAACCAAGTATTTCCTCCAGAAAGGTGCAGGTTTGATATTCACTTTTCTTTTGAATTCGGTAATATAGTTGCAACCTTCCCTTCTCACAGTAATGTGTCAATATGCCATCAAGCTCTCTTGCTCTTCTTTCCCTTGTTTCCTAGAGAAGTCATTAACTACCTTCCTATTCCCATGTGTGGTGGTACAATCGCCCCAGCCTCCTATATGGAATCCAATATTTGAACTTGGCGCTATGAAAGAATGGTAGTGAGGGAAGTGGTGTTGTGAGTTTGATGGTGGGAGAATTTTGGATGGAAGGAGAGTCTTCAGCATTCTATTATTTTTCCTTTTTTAAGGAAAATTTTGTAATTGTAAAATTAATATAAAGTACATTCTGGAAAGACATTTTCTATTGTTCAAGTTTCTCCTAGAAGCATATATGAGTGCAGACTACGCGGGGTTATTAGTGAACAGAAGATTTATCATAGGTTACTGTAAAATTTACCATAGGCTATTGTACCTTCATCGGGAATAACTTGGTTACATGGAGGAGTGAGAAAAAAAATCTAATTGCAAGGTTGAGTGCAAAATCTGAATTCCGAGCAATGTCTCACAGGGTATATAAATTACCATAGTTAAAGAGAATTTTAGAAGATTTGAAAATCAAGTAAAATAACCCCATGCACTTATACAGTGACAAATAAATCGGGCATTAGTGTTACTCATAATCTGGTCCAATATTCAATAAAATACACATTCAGCCATTCTTCACAATGTTGCTCTCTTTGTCTTTGGGACTATGAATCCCCAACCATCTACATCTTTGGTTGCTGGAAGCTAGAAGCCAGAAGGTTGGTTTGGCTTTAGGCCTTCTAAATTTGTTCTTTGCTGTCTCCAAGTCAGTCAAAAGTTACAGGAGTGCTATAGGCTTGGATGTGCTTTAGAGTGAGCAGAGAAAGGAAAGACTATTAATCTTATTCGTCTATCCATTTTTTGGGTCTTTCTGTAGAGAAAGAAACTAAGTGCTTGAGGGTATTTGCTCTCCCTTCATAGAATTAGAGATTATTGATTCCTTTTTCCGATATTTGTTAACACTGTACCCTATCCTTCATGGGGAGGATTTGGGGAACTTTCTAGATATCTTGGTTTCTAATATTGTGTAAATATCCTCTGTGCGGATGGGAACTAACAGTTTTAAATGTAATATGTTTTTTTATCTTAAAAAACTCTCCTTTCAGTTTCCATTTAAAAATTTCCCTTTGGCCAAATTTTAAGCTAAAGGCAAGCAACTCAATCTTGATATATGCTAGTTTTTATTAGACAAAAGAGCAAATTAAAATCTGCTTATAATGTGGACCTATGACACCTGGCTAAATCAAATTTGTTTTAGGACGTGGCTCTAGAAGATTTGACAGCGTGTTGCATGACACGTGAATTATACATTAGAACTGTTATTTATGGTATGTTTCTCAAGTGCAAGGAGTATAACTGGTTGGAAAACCTATTTTCCTTTCATTTGAAAAACCTAATTTTCTTTGAGATTGAGTGAAACAGAGAGATGGAGGACAAGGAAGACCGTCTTATAGGCATTCGTTCAGATTTATATTTTCCGATATGTCGAGATAGAGATGAAGGTACTTCTATTTGTTTTATTCACTCATCTCCATGATTGTCATTATTGTTGCTGTTTTTCTGATCGTCATCGTGGTTATCATCATATTCATTTTTATCTCTCTCATATCTCATGAATTTGGAGCATTAATTTGCAACTGGTTCTTCTAGAAATGATGCTTGACTTAATTATGGTTTTAGGGTTTTGATTTCTCTAAATGCACTGATTGATGTTTTTAGGTCTAAATCTTTGAAATTGACGATAAACACGTGTATTAAAGGCATTTTATATGTTGAGATCTAATCTTGGAAATCATCATCAAATTAACATGCATAGTTCCTGATAGGATCTTCATTAAGGACAATTCAAGTTTTTGCTAGTTTTCATGTATTATTTATTAAGATATAAATCAATTGATTCTATGTTTTAACTTAGATAATAACATTTGATGGTTGTCTTGAGATGCTAAGATCCGAAAAGAGAATGTATATACATTTGTAATTGTTATGTCTTATGATTTTGACAGAGTTATTAGAAGTGCCTACATAACATATATGTTGCTTGTTAATATTAACACGAGAGTAGGATCCTATAGATAGATCTGCTATTATAATAATTTTATTGCACGCTACCAACATTATTATCCTAACAGCATTAAAACAATTCACTAAGGTCAATGCAGCCATTAAAAAGGAACCTAGTGAGACTCAATTTGAAAAAAAAAAGGATCTCTTTTCATATCTACATATTACAATCCTTTACTATCCTAAATTTTTTTCTGTTTTTGGCATAAGCTTATTCCAACAGGAAATCTCTAACTAGTGTTTTTTAATTTTTCTCTCTTATAACTCCCAAGTTGAATATTTATTTTATGCTTAACATAATTCAGAATTCTTTTTATAGACGAATTTTGTATTCACCTACCAAAAGCAAGTATTTTACTTTCAAATCATGATTATGAGAATCAATAGTTTTGTAGAACAAGAAAAGAATTTGTTCTTTGTTGCTAGGAATATATGATGTAACCTTATTTAGTTATCTTTATGTAATGAAAGAAAATGCACACTATTGAGAATGTTAACTTTTCTGTAGTTGAATTCTGATATGTGCTGGAGGAGAAAAATCACAACATTTGGAACCTTCTCTATTACCTTTCTGCATCTCACTCTCTAATTCAATAGATGCATCTGAGTTAGTTTCATGACCAAATTTCTTACTGACACTTTATGTTCATTTGTGGTTTTCCTTTCTCTGTGTGTGTGTGTGTGTCTCTCTCTCTCTCTCTCTCTCTCTCTCTGTCCATATACATATAGATAATTAACCATCTATCCATGTATTATTTATATTCATTTACAATCTTTTAACATACCTGTGTTGGTCCCGAATTTATGTTCTAATTGGGCTAATGTGGCTTTCAAAACCTGAGATGCAATCTTGCTTGGATGATTTTAATATGCATGGAGAATCAACCATATTTTTATTGGAGATGAGATCCTAGTTCTTTGCCATGTACCTTTAATTATTTAATTTTGACCTCCTTATTTGAGGGAACTCCTCTTTCTTAAGGTTATATTGATGTTGTTTCTGTCGAAGGCTTTCTTTCTTCTCAGGAAGTTTCCATTGAATAAGTTTTGGACCTACCAGTTATACCACTTTTTTTCTTTTTTTATGTATGATAAATATGTATCGATAAAATGCAGAGTGCAAAATGTCATCTTTTGGCTAACCAGTTGTGGACTTGGGCTGGAATGATCATTGGTGGAGCTTGAGTTTTCTAATCAGCTGCCCTCATAGTCTAGCTTATGGATCTCGAACTCTAAATGTTTTATGCAGTGCCTTCTCTTTTGCTGGGTTTTTGTGTGGCTTTTCAAATGTTCATTGGCATGTAAACATATTCGGCTTTCTCAGATAGCTGAAAATTCTTTTGTTGTTCTGTTGTATGATACTCCTTTTTTTCTACATATTGAAATCTTTTATCTGAAAAGATATATATATGTATATATATATATATATATATTTTTGGATCTCTTTGAGGGATGTCATTTATATATATATATATATATATATATTTGCATCTCTTTGAGGGATGTCGTTTTATTTCTTTCCACCTCAATTGGGGTTAAAGTGGCAAGTTTTGAAGTTTTTTATTGCTAGTTTGCTTGTGGTTGATGAATATGTAAGCACTCTTCTTGATTTATGCTTTGCTCTTGGCTAGAGATTTTTTAGATTTAATTATGAAAAGAAAAGAACTTTCTTTGAAAAATGATAGGTTATCTAAATATGCTTGCCTTATGCAATGTGTGTTTTCTAGTTCTATAACATATAAACAATGTTTGGTTTGTAGCAATTTATTTTGATCAGGGAACCTCCGACTAGAAGAGATCTGGCCAAGAAATTCCCCAAATCCAAAAGAACGATGTCTCCTATCTCAATAATGATTGACCCTGACATTTTCCTACTCAGCATTTCTTTACTACTAAACATGCTAGGCTGATTTTTTTTTTCTTTTCTTTTTTTGATAAATATTTGCTAGAGTGAATATTATACCATGTATATCAGAATCTCTTCAATTTTGTTCCATGAATATGATACTGGTACAAAACCATGTTATTTATTAGATCGACTTTACCACAATATTTTTATTGCCTGATAAGTAGAAACGAAATTAGAAGTAAGAAGTTAATTGTGATTTCTGAAACAGGTGAAGAGTTTTCTTTTAACGGCTGAGAGTTTTCTTTTACCTAGCCATATGCCAAAAGAAATTCATTAGTACTCTTTTCTCTCTCTTTAGATGCAGGGGCCATGCTGAAGAGGGATGGGAACTCTAACAGCAAAAACTCAAAGGCCAGCACCTCCAAGGGCAACAATTCAAAGGATGATAACTCAAAGGGCGACATACAAAGCTGCAAGAAACCAAGGGTAAGTCCAGGTGATGAGATGCCACCGTGGACAGAGCTTCCCGGGGATCTTCTTTATGTTATATCCAAACAACTCAGCATCCAAGATTACTTCTCTTTTGGCCAAGTCTGTACAAAATGGAGGTCAAATTTTGCAGTCTCCAAGAAGGCCATCTTGACATCCATACCTCCACTTCTCCTTCTCCTATCACCCTACAGGCCAGAATTCTGTTATTTTTACAACTTATCTGATGGCAGCATTTTTGAGATTAAGATTCCTAGCATATCAATGAAATTATTTCATGGGGTTTCTAGTGGATATTTGGTCATGGAAAGCCTTGAGAATGATATTTGGCTGACCAACCCAATCACAAGGCAGCATCTTGTCGTGACCAAACCACCAGAATATACTAAGTTAAATAAAATCTTTGATCTTCTCATCATTGCTTTGGTTATCCCTCAAAAAGAAATTCTCATGGTGGGTCTAACTAAAAGGTGTCTACAGCTCTGGTTTCGTCGATCCACAGATTCCAGATGGACTTCTTGTGAGTATGGCGAGGACAAGTGTTTCTTGGATTTGATTGTCTTTAACTTCAAGGTTTATGTACTAGGCACTGATTGTGAGATTGGCTTTTTAAACCTGAAATCTACTCCTTGTCTGACATTTCTGCCACTCAATGGTAAGCCTGGATCAAGCAGACATAGTAGGTTTGTGACTTCAGGTGATCGCCTTTTGGTAGTTGACTTTTTACTAGAAAGATGGCTATGTGTTTATGAGATAGATCTCGTGAAGATGGAATGGGTGAAGATCACAGACCTGGGTGATGAATCATTGTTTTTCTCTAGTTCTAAGGGTAACAGATTGTTCTCTAGTGCTAAGGGTAGCAGATTGTTGAACCCAAAGAAATGGGGAGGGCACAGCAACTGTCTCTACCAACTTGAGTTCATGTTAAATAAGTGCCATGTGTATTCCCTTGAGAGAGAGTTGGTTGGTGAATACATAATTAACGTGAACAGTTATAATCTATATCCTTTTGGATGGTACTTTCCTGAGAGTGCTTATGACATGGATGTTGTTCGGGATGACGAGTAAGGTCTTATGGACGAGAAGAGAAGTTAAAGCATAGGGGTTTTGCTGCTTGTTTGCTCTCTTCCCCCTTTTAAAATTTGGTCAGAACTTCAAACTTTGGAACTTTTTCTGGGTTTTTTGATGTTAGTTTCTCCTTGTTTCGGACTTGTTTTTGGTTTGGAACCTCCAATAACTCTAAAGTAGGGCTGGTGGTTGTGACTTTTGATCGCTAGACTCTACTGTCTGGCCTTTGTTTGTTTTGTTCGTCTATGTTTTTAGACATTATGGAAACTTTTGATGCTTTCTTTTTGTTTATTGGGACTTCATTTCTTGTTGTTGATAGGATTGTGCATGGAAATTTAAGAATGCCCAGGAGAGACAAGGATTTATGTTGGAGCCGTAATATTTTATAGTAATTCTATACAGTAATTTCTTCGTTAATTACTGCATAAAATTACTGAATTATTTTAAAATGTTATAAGACTAACATAGAGGGGCCGATAAAAAACTATAGGATTTTTAATTTTCATATGTTATTTGTACTTAAAAAATAATTAATTCAAATGTACAAATTAATGAGAAGATTAACAATTAAGATTCTCCAAATAACAAGATTTATGCTTCTTAATAGTCAGTTAAGATAATTAATTTATAATTTTTTTAAAAAAATTAATGTATCTGATAATGATCTAAATTATATTACTACGAAAATAAAATTAAAAGTGTAAAAATTTAATTATTTTCAATATTTTTTAAATAATCATAGCATGTAATATTATAAAAAAAAAAGCAATAAATATATTGAAGTGAAAATTATAAACATAAAAATATAATAATAACTAACGTGGGCTTGAAAGCCCAACAAGAATGTGTATAATATAAATAGAATTAGTTTAAATCTTACCGTCTTGCAATGGCCACGATCGCTTCCACCGCTATCATCCTTGCAGTTGCAGAGACCATCCCTAAAATAGCTAATGAAGATCACTAGCTTGGCCATGTAGTTGCAGAGCTCAACAATTTCTGAACCTTCGTTGTTGGAGGTTCCAAGCTTATCATGAACTTGGCCGAACACCACGAACGTATGTATCATGGCCGAATACAGAAATACTAAACCAAGTCGAAAAGAGAGTTCAAGAACCAAGCAGATATTGGCATCGAAAAAGCAAATGGGAGTGTCTTCTATCTCTTTTCTTTCAGATGCTTGTGTTGCAAGAACCGCCACATCAATGGATTTCCTCTCTATCACCAACAGCTTTCTTGGTGGCAGGAGGATGCCATGGACCAGAGGGAAACGAGGTGTGAAATTGAGTTTTAGTATTCTCGTATGCTGCTTCATCCTTTTTTTTTTTTTTTTTTTTAATGCGATGAATATGTATATCAATTTCAAAGATATTGCATCTTAAAAGTATTAGTCTCCTTCCCTACGGGAGTGAGAGAGTTGAGGAAAATTTCATTCGGTTAAATAGGATTCTCTTGAACTGCAGCCTGCAGAAGGATTAGGCGTCAAATCCTTTGTCACCTCCAATAAGGCTTTCCATTGTAATGGTTGTGGAGGTTTATTCTAGCAATAGAAAATTGTGTCGGAAGATTATCAAGGCTGGATATAGTCTTATAGGGGGAGGCTTTGGATGACATAGATGCCTGCGGTACTGAAGGAAAGATTTGGTTGGTATTGTTCATCTCATACATTTTTGGAGAATGTACGATATAGTGACTCTGCACTGCAAACCTGTTTTCTTACAATCTTTTACTTAGCTTTTAATTAATTGAAAGATTGTAATCAACCTGTCCTAAACCCTTTGAGATTGAGGAGTATGTGAGTTATCTTGCTGCCCTTGAGAAAGCTTCTATAGATCAGGTAAGGAGAATGCCCTATTTTGGAGTGTTTCTAAGGATGGAACTCAGGAATCAAGTGGGTGACGGGTGGATCTATTAGGAATGTAGCTACTAGGCTTTTATGGTAATCACCGTCATAATAGAAAGAAGAAGCTTGTATCTCTTATTCCTCGTGTCATTTCTTGGACTATTTGGAGAGAAAGAGTAGGAAATGGTTGGTCCAAGTTGTAAATATTTGATCCCTCTGCAACAAACTGAAAAAGTTTAAGTATTTTTTTCAAAGATCATACTATCCTCTGTCAGAATGCTTTTAGGTGAGATTATTGATATTTTAGCTGAGTTCCTTTTTTAATTTTCTAATTTATGAGCTCGTAAATGGGTGGCAATCTCTTGGTGCCTCTAGAAACCTTTTTATTTGTTTTTAATATTTTTTTACATTTAATGGATGCTTTTTTCATTTATTTTTACAGAATATATTCAGCCTATTTGGGGAGAGTTGGGGATTCCCATCCATTCATGAGGTTTTTTTCTCTGCTTCTTTGAGGGTTTGGATAAAAAATAAATTATGTGAAGTTCTTTGGAGAAGGCAACTTTTTGCTGACTGCTGGGCTTTGTGGTTGGAACACAATCCACAATTTTTAATTAATGTGTTAATCCTACAAATGATATTTGGGTTAGAATGATGTGGATAACGTCTTTGGGACCTAAGGGGGCTTGCCATTGTCTATTATGCAAAGAAATTGGGAAACTGTCTTACCTTAAATTTTACAAAATTTACCCCTCTTTCCTCTCTTTTTTTCTTTTCCTTTTCTAACTTGTTTTCTTTCTTTATATATGATGATATCTTGTCCTCTCTTTCTTTCTTTCTTTTTTTTTTTTTTAAAAAAAGAAAATAACCATAAGTCATTCTACTACCAAATTACCAGTTTCAGATGTAAACAAATGGCACTTTAGTATTTTAGCATAGCTTGTGTGTAGATTATGCATACTTGTTTAAATATATGTCATTTTACTGTGAAAATGCTTATAGAAAATTTTTTTCCAAAATATTTTTATTATATTTTATTTATTTAGAGAATAAATAAAAAATACTCTTAAAAGTTTCAAGAACTCATAAATTTTATGAAAATAATAGATAATATTTAAAATTGTTTGGACATTTTTGGAACCCAACCGCATTGGTTGACACTGTTGTGTGCCACAATGTCTTATCCCTCTTCTCACGTGTTTCTCATCACGTATTTTGTAATGCCAACCAAGTATTTACTTCAGAATGGTGCAGGTTTGATCTCCTCTGTTCTTTTTAATTTGGTAATATAGTTGCAACCTCTCCTTCTCGCAGTAATGTGTCAATATGCCATCAAGCTTTCCTGTTCTTCTTTCCCTTGTTTTCTAGAGAAGTCATTAGCTACCTTCCGATTCCCATGTGTGGTGGTAGAATCACCCCAGCCTCCTATATGGAAATCAAATATCTTGAATGGACGCTATGAGAGAATGGTAGTGAGGGAAGTGGTGTTGTGAGTTTGATGGTGGGAGAATGCTGAATGGAAGGAGCGTGTTCACCATTCTGTTCTTTTTTCCTTTTTTAAGGATAATTTCAAAATTATAAAATTAATAAAAAGTGCATTCTTTAGAAGAATTTCCTATTGTAGAGCTTAAAATGCCAGTAGAAAAATGTTGTCTTGGGGTAGCTTATGACAACCGCATTCTGCTTGAGGTTAATTAAACTGCAGATGAATTTATTATCTAGAATTATCTTTTTGGAAGTGGGAGGGAAATTTTCTTTTCAAGAATGTACTTTTATCTAGAATTGTGATTAGGAAGATTTTCACTGATGAAAATCTAAGAAAAGAAGGGGAAAATTCTGGTCAATGTTATCTTTGTAAGAGGGTGACTGAGACTTGATATCATTCTGGTCATTGGTTTCAGGATAAGCTTCAAGTGTGGCATGGAATCCGGGCAATAAAAGAAGGAAAAGAACTAATTTTGTTTATCACACTATTGGATATCCAAAAGACAAGCAATGGATGGGCTTCAGACGACGTTGCTGCCTCTTTTGGTAGATTTATGCATATACGATTCTACACCTTCTGTTTCTTGTTTAAGGGTTATCTTTTTCTTCTGCATAGGACTTAGGGGAGCTCATTGATCTGATGAGGATTTGTATTATATTCCTCATTTTTCTAAACGCAGGCAGCGCTCTCTTAATTTGCTGCTAGTGCACCTTTTTTTGGTCATTCTAGAAATGCTTAATTAAGCTGAAATGAGAAAGATATGTACAAATTAATTCTGGAGTTCGCAAATTCTAGTGTGATAAAATTAACAGGGTGTCACATGACGTGTCGATGATAAGGATTCACCCACTATAAGTGTGCTATTTATGGTATCTTTCTTAAGTTAAGGAGTATAAATGGTCGGAACCCTAATTTCTTTTGAGATTGAGAATGCAAGAGAGGGAGGAGATGGAGAGGAGAGGCGGCGATCGATATGATCTTCGTCCATTGGTGCGATACTCATCAATGGCAGGTAAAATTTCTTGCTTTTTATTTTGTTTGCTCTTCTTCGTCATCTCATCATCACCATCAAGTTATGAATTACCGTTTTTATACTCTCTCTCTCTCTCTTATTGATTTTGAATCTTCAGTATTTAATTTGCATCTTGTCTTTCTAGATGTGATTATTGATTTAGTTCTTGTTTTAGGGATTTGATTTCTTAAAAGATTTTTTGTGAAACCTTAGTATTTTTTGAACTAGACTTAACACCTAGTTATTTAAAGGGATTTATGTGTTGATATTTAGATCCTTCAATCATGATCAATTTGCTCATAAAATCTTTCATAAAGAGTTTTTGGGATAATTAGTTATCTCATTATTTTTTGTGGTAATCCATTTTCAACACTGAACCCACGTGTAGTCTCAGCACACTTCCACTATGCACTTTTGGTGTTGGAACTTGATGCCTAAGTTCAAATCGTGGAGACCTCATAAACTCTCTTATTATTGCTTAGTATTCTTTTTGACATAATTGGCTGGTTCAATGTGCAGCGTCTAGTAATCTCTCTTTATCTTCCACTCCTATTACTAAACTTAACATCCTTCCCGGCATATAAGATCATGTTAGAGAATGTAGAATAAATAATGAAATTGGGTCCTTTTTTATACAAACCATCTAGGAATATTTTTTCCATCTTATTATTAGTATAGATCATTATCTTTTTAATTGGCTTGTTATTCATTGTTTAGTTAAGATTCCCATTTAATAGTTATTTCCTATTTATTGTTCTAGTCATAATAGGATTTCTAGAGATACTATAACTAGTTGGATGTTACTCCATTGTTATTCCAATGGCTCATATATAAAATCAATAGATATTTTCTCATGATTGAGTACTTCACTCCACTTGAGTGTGATATGGTTGTAACAATTCTGTGTGGTTGTGTTTTTGACCTCTGTGATTGCAGATCCAATCATTATCACTGTAGGTTGGATCATTTCCATTTTCCTTTTTCAATTTCATGTTTACTTTTTCTATCAACTTAAAGATTCTGTATTATTGCTTATTCAACTAATTGTTTCTGAATTATCATGTTATGAACTAAGAGAAAATCAACCATTATCGTAGAAATAGTTAGTTATTATACAATATATTTAGATAATGTGATTGCCTTGAGATTTTGTGATTTTAAAAGGAAGATTTTGCACTTTGGATCATGTTTTTAATGATTCAGGCTTACTTGCTATATATTGTAAAACCAACTACATAACCTCTCTGTAGCATTTCAATTAATTTTTTTGAATATGACCTTTACGAGAAGTCAAAATATGCAAAATGTTTGATAAGTTTGATACAACCATTTTGGATGACAACAGAATTTCACATCATTGGATAAGGAGGAAGGATCTGTTGATAGTTCAGCTGAAAAAGATCTCTTGAACTATTTCAATTTTTTGTAGACAGATTTTTTTATTATTCTTCTCACTAACTACAGGTTGCTTCGAGGGGCATAATGTAGTTTTCTCAATGCTGCTGACTACCCCTTTTATTAACAATGTTTCTTTTGTAGGATTTTATTTAAAAATCTCATGTTATGAATGGTAATATACTACATACAGTTGGGATCATTTTAACATTTTCAGATTTGGAATATGAAGATTTGTGATTTTAATTGAACTGTACATGTTTGATGAAAAAACAAATTTCAACAATACCTGATGAGGATTTGTTGCTTGCTATAAAGAAAAGCAGAAGGCTAAAAGTGCTCTTCATTGCTTGGGATACCATGGATAGTAAGAATAGAAGAACTTTCAATAGCGTAGAAAGCCCTTTTCATGGGACAGATATCTTTGATTGTATATCCTATACTTTTGACTACTTGCCACGCTTTTGCCAGTGATAAAGATTTTGTCTTGTGGGCGTCATAGAGCTTTTATGTTGTAAGGTAATCATTTGTCCATGGGTGACACCTTCTTGGTACTTTATGAATGATGTTCTATAATGTCGGTGGGTCAATGTGGCTTCAGAAACGTAACATTGTGTTAATCGCACAAATGAATTCCATATTCCTGCAGAATCAACATTGCCTTGAATAACATGGATTGTTTATGTAAATCAACTTTTGAACTTGATTCAGAGCTAGTTTTGGTTTTGACCGACATTGATGTCCTAGTTCCATACCATTTACGCTCTTTGATTTTATGTTTCTCTTGTGATTTCTTGATATAGCATGTTTACATCTTTCCAAAAAGAAAAAACCATGTTTACAATCAGTTGCCTTGCCTTGTGAACCTAGCTCATGCATCTGAAATCTAAACATGTTGGCTGTGTTTCTTTGTGCAAAGTTGAGCTTTGGTTTTCCTGCTGAGATTCTGATGATGCTGCATGCTACTCAGTGTTAGTAACCATATGAAAATTTTTTGGTTGTTATGTGTTATGATATTTTTCAATACATGCAATACTCAGCAATAAATAACAGTCCCTTATGAAATATTCTTCTCTTGGCCACCTGGTTGGGATATTTCTTTTTCTTTTCCCCTTGTTTTTCTTTTCTGGCATATGATTTGTAGGAGGAAAGGAAAAAGATGCCT